ATTGAATTGAATTGAAATTGAATCCCTTTCATCTGGTGGTAATAATGAGTGTGCTGTGATGTCTGACCTGTAGCAGTCGGTGCCGTAGGGGCACTCGGGCCGCTCTTCCTCCTCGTCCTCGTCCTCGTCCTCCTCGTAGTCGGTGTCACCGGGGTGACTGCACTCCTGGAAATGGACCGGGTTCTTCCTGGAAAAGCAAAAACAAAGAGGGAGGTGAGGAGAGGTCACCGTCAGAGCCTCTGCACACAAAAACGTTTCCCTGCTTTCATTTAAAGGAGCCAACAGCGTTCTGTCCAACTTTTAGAGTTACAGCAAGAACATGCCAACAAACAGGTCATCTAAACCAGTACCCGCTGCCCAAATAAAGAAGCACAAAAGGGAGAAAAAGGAAGAAACCCCAGGAAGAGAAACAGAGGGGAGAGCCCTCTTTCAGGACGGACAGACAGGAAGTCGATTTCTAGTTTTCTTCTAATGTTTTTTTTTTAAATGATCCTTTATCTTAAATTTGAGAGCAGCAGCTAGGAGAAGCCTTTGGACCGGATTCAGTTTGCTTCATGTTCTTCAGCTCAAGTGATGTACTGAGCTTGACGTAAGCTCAGAGGGAAACATACCTGTAGCAGTCCTTCCCGTACGGACACGCCGTTCGGAGTCGAGGTTTGGACGGAGCGGGTCCGGACGTAGAGCCGCTGTTGCTCCCCACGGACTCTGCCCGTTTGCTTTGTTGTCCGTTTCTCGACCTGCTGTCTTCTTCCTCGGGCTGACTGACTGCACACGCCGACGTCGAGGTGCCTCCTCCTCGCCCTTCCTCGTCCACATCCATGGTGAAGCCGTCAGACTCGTCGCTGACCTCAGGCCTGTTGGATTCACTCTGGGGCCGAACTGCGGGCCGCTGGGAGGGAACGTCCTGGAAGTCAACAACATTTGCATGTTGTGTGTGTTGAGCAAAGTCTTATTTGGACCAAAAATGATGAAAGAAAAGTACACATTACCAACTGTACTCAACTGTTTTAGACTGAGCTTCTTCTTCTTTTTCATCGCTGATCTTCCTTCTCCTCTTCTTCGGCATTTCCTCCTCGCTGACCCCCACCTCCTCAGCTGAGGAAGTCTTGGACTGTGTGGCTGCGGCTCGTTTAGTGCCGGTCGACGCCGCTGAGGCTCCTTTAGTTCTCTTCACGGCTGACTGAACTGAAACAGAGAGACAGATATCAGAGCCACATTTTTACCATCCACTGTTTAGATCTTGGTGCTTTTTAACTCTAGATTTGAAC